GCCCGGGAGCTCCTAGGGACCTGGCAGCGGTACCAGGAACAGCTGGGGCTTGTGGCCACCTACTTCATGGGGATTCTGAGAGCAAAGGACACCATGGTCACTGGAACACCAGGCCCTGTTTGGGCCTCAGGAGCTCATTTATGTGCCAACCAAGAGCTGCTTTCCTGCCTTGAAGAGGGCCACAGGGCACAGGGGCTGGAGGGTTTCTGCCCCCACGTGGCACTCTACATCCAATATGCTGCCAATGCAGAGGGGTCTTGGACCACCTTCCAAGAGCAACTAAGGAAAAGCAAGCATTTCTGGAGTCCGTGTGGCTTCAGGAAGGCCGCCCTGGCTTTGGAAGTCTTCAGCTCTAGGACCTGCTCCTTCTGGCCCTTGGAGGCTCCAGCAATATGAGAATCTTGCTGTTGGTTTGGCAGAAAACCAAGTACCAGCAGCCCTGAGCACTAACATCACACGCAGGCTGCTAGGCCAAAAAGCAGACCACCCAGCCAGTGAGCACCATTGGGCAGAACGGAGAAATGGCAAGCTCTCCTCCGGCGTGTCCAGGCTCTGCTCAGCGGACACCAGGCAAAGGGCCTTACCTCACCTTGCGGGTTCCTGAGCCAGGACTGACTGTGGGTGGTGCTTCCCCAGGGAGAGCCTCTCCCAGATGTTCTTTCTCTTCTCTGATTTGCTCCTCGACCTGCACTGCATCTGCTACAGGATGGCACCTCCACCTGCCAGGCCCTCTACCAATGGCCCAGTGTCCACTCCACAGGGCCTGGGGGCGCTCATGAGGGCTGTGGTGGGCTGCTCAGCCAGTGCTCTCCCAGGGAGAGAACTGCTTCTTCTCTCCACACATCAGGAGGAGCCATTTTGCTGCTACCACAGTCTGACTTTGGCCGTCAGCAGCAGAAAGAATGAGAAGAATCTTACAAATTCCAGAACCCAGGATACTTCAGGGTTAGGAGTACAAAGCAACCTTTGGTACTAAATAAAACACAGAGACCTTCATGGTTTGAGAAGGGCATTTTGTGCTTGCCTGGGCCTGAGCCACACCGGGTTATCCGGCCAGCTCTTCGGGGTCAAGAAACCAGGTCTGACCCAATTGAACCTCCACTGAACGGGTCCCTCCTGCACAGATGAGGGCATTTGGGACTGATAAGCTGTGTCTATGGCCAGTCGTTTATCAAGGTCGCAGCTTTGCAAACATGGCCATTTTTTATATTGTATATGGTTTCTATGATTTATTTGCCCCCTGGATTTTAGTAAAGTGTTGTGTATGTTTTTAAAAGTTCCCACTTCTCTCCCCATCCTCCCCAAAACAGAAATACAAAAAACTTTATGCTAGTGTTGGCTCTCTAATAGCAATTGATCTTGTCAATTCACTTAACCTTTTCAGGCTTTAGTTTCATTATCTCTAAAATAAGGAAAACATTTTAGACTAGGATTTTTCAACCTTGGCACAGTTGGTATTTTGGGCTGGGTAATTCTTTGATGTTCCATTGTTGGATGTTTAGCAGCATCCCTGGCTTCTGTCCACTAGATGTCAGTAGTATCTCCCAGTGAGTCAACCAAAAATATCTCCAGACATTTTAAAATATCCCTCAGTTGGAGGGGCAGGGGACAAAATCCCTTCAATCCCATTTCAGCACTGCTGTGTTAGGTCATCTTTAATTATAATATACTAGAGGCCTGGTGCATGAAAATTTAACACAGAGATGTTAAAACTGGGCAAAATAACCCAAAGCAGCATTGTCTCCTAGACAATTGTTTGCAAAGGTAATTAGAAAGCAGGTATTATGACAGCCAGACTAAAAATTGAAAACATTTTTTAGAATTAGCATCACTGTGCTAGCTTCTTTGCCCAATAGAAATCCTTCCTCCTATTATTGTAATTGTTCCCCCTTCCCTTTCTCATAAACACCCCTTGCCTTCCCTCCTAATTGGAACACTATTTGGCTTTCTGCCCAAATCAGTGCTTTCCTGAGAGCTATTGTTTTAGATCTCAAAAAATGCTGTTGCCTCTCACTTTGGCCTAAGAGCTGTCACAGGAATGTGAGAGAATAGACATAAAGGGGACAGATGTAATTTAGTGTTAATCCTCAAAGAACTAAGTGTTAGCTGGGAAATGGCTGCCCTTTCAAATCCAAGCCACCAATGGCAACCTTGAGCTCAGTACTGTGTGGAGGGCACAGTCAGCCACAGGACGCATCGGTGGGGGTTGCTAGGCTTCTTGAACGAACAGGAGTTCATATAAGTCTATGTGACTTTGAAGAATACTCCCTGTTAATAGTAATGCAAGGAAATTATTTTTCCAAAGAATACTTTTTAAGGGATAGTGGTTTACCTAAGTGTAGTTAGCTTTGGGGTTCCTGTTAGTTAAATGACCACCAGATGGTGCTAAACCTAACTAATGCATCAGGTATGGCTAAATACGCTGCCCTTCCCCACACAATTTCTCAGCCCTTTTTGAAATAATTTTGATTTGACTATATTCAAATAAAAGATACCTGCCAATTAAAAAAAATTTTCCCATTCAGAACATAATTACTTCTGACACCTTGTTTATATCTATTTCTGATTCAAAATATATCTATTTTCATTCCAAGCAACTTGACAACCAAGCAAGACTAAGGCTCAGAAGGCACAAGAATATATTGAGTTCGTAGCAAGAGATTTGTTCCTTTTTAAAATGTTAATTGAGGCCATAGCTGGGTGATTTGATAACACTACTCCTGGCAAGCACAAGCAAAACTGATATAAAAACCTTTTGACTAAATTTCTTCAACACTCTGCTGCCTGATCTTGTAAAAGATGAGTTTTGTACTTACCCTTGGCAGTCTGAGATATTAAAAAGGCAGAAGTTAGAATATTAAAATGCTTTGGAGAGCCCTGAAATGTAATGATGTGCTACAAAAAAAGCTCTATGACTCGTGTGTGTGGTAACATGGTATTTAGAGAGAGAACTTGGCCATTACACACATTAATAAGGTAGCCTGTGTTAAAACGAGAAGTTCTGAGGGCTCATTGAAATACTATCTACTAACTGAGAAAATATGAAATTCACAGCCTACTTAAATTTTTAATCACTAGGGATAAAATGTCCTTATGTTTTATAAATCTTCAAGTCAGTCTACCTGTATATATGAGCCAAGGGAAAGAATCCTGCAGTTGTTATAAATAATTTTGTTTGTTTGTCTTTAAGGAAGAGAGACTATTGTTGGCCCTTATTAGTAGCCTTACTTGGATAGCAAAATAGTAAAGGACCCTCAAGGAGGATGGGGTGGTGGTCAGCAATGGGTGGAGAGTCGGTCGGTTGAATTACTGCAATCCACACAGTTCCACATCTCATTTAAAATATAGTCAGAAGAGCCAAAACCGGTTTGGCTCAGCGGTAGAGCATTAGTCTGCAGACTGAAAGGTCCCAGGTTCGATTCCAGTCAAGGGCATGTACATTGGTTGCAGGTACATCCCCAGTGAGGGGTGTGCAAGAGGCAGCTGGTCGATGTTTCTCTCTCATCGATGTTTCTAGCTCTCTATCTCTCTCCCTTCCTCTCTGTAAGAAAATCAATGAGATATATTAAAAAAATAAAATAAAATACAGTCAGAAGAAAAAGACAAATAATAGTCTCAGAATTAGACTGAGAACAGGCAAAGCAGAAGTTACATGGACAAAAATCCTGCCCTCCTGTGTTTACCCTATGGCTCTATTTAGCAATTAGAACATTAACAACATTGCCCTAGCTGGTTTGGCTCAGTGGAGAGAGCATCAGCCTATGGAATGAAAGGTCCCAGGTTTGATTCCGGTCAAGGGCACATGCCCAGTAGGAGGCGTGCAGGAAGCAGCAGATCAATGATTCTTTCTCATTATTGAGATATATATATATATATATATATATATATATATATATATATATATATCCCTTCCTCTCTGAAATCAATTAAAATATATTTTTTAAAAACACAAATAAGCCGAAACCGGTTTGGCTCAATGGATAAAGCGTCGGCTTGGGGACCAAAGGTTCCGGGTTCGATTCCGGTCAAGGTCATGTACCTTGGTTGCGGGCATTTCCCCAGTGGGGGGTGTGCAAGAGGCAGCTGATGGATGACACTCTCTCATCAATGTTTCTAACTCTCTATCTCTCTCCCTTCCTCTCTGTACAAAATCAATAAAATATATTCAAAAAAAACCCCACAAATAACACAATAATGCATATTTTCACATATTTTCCATCAAAATAATGGAGAGGAAGGGTGAGCACCAGTGAAACAGCCAGGACTTGGGGCTGCGAAAGCAAATACAAAATTCCATTCCAGGATTTGCCTAGGGCTGGGCCTGACTCTAAAGTGCGTCTCCGTAAAACTTGCTGTAAACAAACAATTCTTTTCCTTAACATAATACAAACATCTTGATACAAATCCTCATCCAACAAGCTGGCTATCACAACTGATTTAAAGACAAGAAGCAGAATGGGCGGTGGTGAAGGAAACCCCTGAATACTTCCAGCCAGGGGTTTGTACAATCACTGGGTTAGAGCTGTGAGTTCAGTCCCATTGCCCTACCACAGATTTCCCCCGAAAGATATGTATCTCATGTGTTCTAGAGAAACACTTCCCAAATTGTCATGTGCTCCTCCTGGGGCTCCTTCCTACCACTACCCACAACTTAACATGTATTCTGTGAAGGAAAAAAAGGTCCTCAGTAAAACACATTTGGAAAACACTACACACTGTATGCTCTTCTTGGAGCTTTCTGGGTGCACTTGGGCATCTGAAAAGGTATCAAAAGATCTGGGGGTTTTAGAAAGGGAATATCTGTGTCACTGAAGTCATCATTTCCCAAATTTAAATTCCCTTCCTTGTCCCCATCTTCACCCCCAGGCATACCAGCATTTCACCGGCCACTGGTATTCTTGAGTAGAGTGTTCAGAAAGTGCTTTTTCAGGGATAAAAGTATTGCATCTTCTTGCCACATGAAAAGGATGGTGAAGGTTGAAAATACTTACCACAAGGACCTACTTAATATCTTGAGAGTTCATATTTTTGCTTAAATTTGGCTTCTTAGTACAGTTGTTCAGCTTTTGCCCTATCATTCTTCTGATTGAGACATCGTCAGTGTTGGGGAATAACTGTTTTGTGACTCCTGTAAAAAAAACAACAGCAACAACAAAAACACTTTAGGAGGCCTTTGCGTCTTAGGATATGAACTGAGATAAAACATAAAGCACATTAAAATTTTGTCTTCATTTTGCAAAAGTAGCCCAGACACCCATGAGATCTTTAAATGATGAATAGATAAGTAGGCTTTGCAAAGAAACCAAGAGATAACGAAAGTTCTTTGTCTTTCTATGGTACCACTCAACTTTAACCTTACTGCTTGCTCTGAAATCTCTCCCTGCTCCAAAATGCTAGGGATTTAATTGTATCCATCCCAACATCAGTTTGAACAGTGGAGTCTGAGCCTTTTCCAAATAAGAAATTACATTCTATTAAAATATAGAGAGCTGGGGTTCAGCGATTCCCTAAATTTATTAGATATTTCAAAAATTATGTGACAATCTAGATTATTATATTTAAGGAGAATCATTCACTTGAAAACCATAAGTAATGTCAAATTAGCCTCTGCCTTGCTAGAATAAAAGATAAGGCTAGAACTAGGATAAAGAGAAAATAAGATATAAATTGTCAATGAAATTTTGATTGAAAGGATTTTGAAAATTTACTTTTCTAAAGCTATAAATTTATGAATTGTCTAATTCCAAACTTTTCAGTGACATTCAATTTTAGTTTTTAGTTTAATATCTACTTTTAAAGTAAAGTTTTTCTATAAAATGTCCCATATTTACTAGGGTTTATACTGTCCTCAGATTTTCCTTTCACAGAAAAGTAAATTTGAAGAAAAATATCATAAAAGAATAACAACGCAGAAAGCTAAAATAATTTTAAAATCATGACAGTATAATGCAATCATTTTATCACCTATGATTTCTTGAACTTCGTTCTGATTCATAGCTGGCTTTACAGTTTTCTCCCTTGAAGTAGAGGATTTTGCACCAGTCAGGCTGTGTGTGGCCATGTATTCATTTGTGTAAAGTACTTGCATTAAGTCATTAATAAATTTCTGAGGTTTGCTCTTGTTACAACGAGCAATCTGCCATTTTTCAATCTTGAACTGAAAGGGGGAAAAAAAAGAATGAAATTGTAAGAGGAAAAAGGAAGTAAAATCTGGAGGAATATATTATTAATTAAGGCATACCAGAAAACAAAATCAATGTTCTTTAAGGAGATGCATTATACTTTTAGTATATACTTTACATTTCAGGGGTTAGAGTTAAATGCTGCCTTTGAGAAAATTCCCAAAATTTGTGAGTATATACAGAGTATATACATATTCTTGTTATGGAATCTGGATTTGGTGCTTTAAGAATTAGTCCCCTTTTCAATGCTTAACTAAGTGTGGGCAGCAGAATAATGGCCTGGAAACTGTGAATGGGAAAACAACTTTGTAGGTGTGATTAAAATTAAGTATCTTGAGATGGGAAGACTAGCCTGGGTTATCCAGGTGGGCCCTGACCTAACTACAGGAGCCCTCCAATGCAGAAGAGGGGGGCAGGAGAAAGGGCCAGAAAACAGGACATGATGGAGGAGAATTGAAGAGTGAGAGGGACTTAGCTTGCCACGCAGGCTTTGGGGATGGTGGAAGCAGCTACAAAACAAGAAAGGTGGTTGCCTCTAGCAGCAGGAATGGCCTTCAGTTTATGGTCAGTAAGAAAATTGGAACTCAGTTCTATAACCACAGAAGCTGAATTCCACAACCCAAACAGGTCCTTCCATAGAGCAGCCTCCGGAAAGGAGTCCCCTGCCCATAGTGGGATGTTACCGCACTTCTGACCTGCAGGACTCTCAGACAGTTAATTTGTGTTCTTAAATTACTAATCCTGTGGTAACCTGTTATACAGCGAAAGGAAACAAATACACTAAGATTCAAATATTCTGAATGACAGATTTTTAGAATTTAATATTGTTTTTCCAACAATAATACCTGATTCAAACAAAACTGTCTTTTTTAGCTTCTGTATTTTTATTAAGAGAAATTGAGGAAGTAGCAAAAAAAACAAAAAAAAACAAAAAACCCCCCCCCAAAAAAACCCTGTGTCCAGACAGCATGCAGAGGATGAAATTTACCTCTTCCCAATGATACAATTTCATAGCTCTTAATGCACAGTTATCCTTCCGTTATTGGATTAAGAATTATCTAGTTTTAAAACATCATCACTGCCTACAATTTGACTTTAGTTTTAGAAATAAACGATATTTGTTTCATAAGTATTCGATTTACTGTTTTCTGTAATAGGAATGTTATGGTTGTGATCTAAAGTTACTTAAAAGTATCTTATAAAACAATGGTCACTTTGTGTTCTTTTTTTTTTTTTTTTTAAAGATCTTTATTGTTGAAAGTATTACAGATGTCCCCTTTTTCCCTATTGACCCCCTCCTGTTCTTCCTCCCCACAAGGCCTTCACTGCACTATTGAGAGTCTATGGATTATGCACATATGCAATACATTCTTTGGTTAATCTCTCCATGCCCCTTGCCTCTTCCCTTTGGGATTCATCAGTCTGATCCTTGCTTTTATGTCTCTGGATCTATTTTGTTCATCAGTTTATTTTATTCATTATATTTCACATATGAGTGAGGCCATGTGATACTTGTCTTTTTCTGAATGGCTTATTTTGCTTATCATAATACTCTCCAGATCTCTTCATGCTGTCTCAACAAGTACGAAATCTTTCTTTTAGACAGCTGCATGGTGTTCCATTGTGTAGATGAACCAGAGCTTTTTTTATCCACTCATTTATGGGTGGGCACTTGGGCTGTTTCCAGATCTTAACTATTGTAAACAGCACTGCTGTGAAAATGGGGGTGCATGTATTCTTTCTGATTGTTTTTTTTTTGGGCGGGGGATCCTTAGGATATATTCCTAGAGGCGCTCTTATTTTAATTTTTGTATTTAATTGTGTCCCAGAGAAAGATAGGGTGGGTATTCCAACTGACCTGCTTCTCATCAGTGTGATGCTCTTCTTCAGCTCTCAAGGAAACTGGTGAACTGGAATTAGAATTTGAACTAGAATTACTGCACATGGAGGCAAATGAATCTGGTGAGGAGTTGTTCGTAGCCCTCCAGAGGGTGGATGAAGATGTAAACATGGTTCCTCGGCCCTTAAGCACGGCCTCCGCCATACCAACCAACTCTTCAAACTGGGTCACTGCTTGTGGTAACACTAAAATGGCAAGAAAAAGTTAACACTTTACAAATTGTTTTTTAGAAACAGGACATATATACATTTCTTATTGTATGTAGAACAACTTGTTAACATTTGCTACCTTTGGAAAACAAACATGGTAAGAAAAGTGGTTGGGCCGAAACTGGTTTGGCTCAGTAATAGAGCGTCGGTCTGCGGACTGAAAGGTCCCAGGTTCGATTCCAGTCAAGGGCATGTACATTGGTTGCGGGCACATCCCTGGTAGGGGGTGTGCAAGAGGCAGCTGGTCGATATTTCTCTCTCATCGACGTTTCTAGCTCTCTATCTCTCTCCCTTCCTCTCTGTAAAAAATCAATAAAAAATATGTTTAAAAAAAATAAAAGTGGTTGGGACATTTTATTAAATAATTTAATAATTGCTCAGTAATAAAAAATTAATTTATAAATATTTGCTGACAGTATTTAAATGTTTATACATCACATTGGAACTAAAATGAATGTTTTTACACGTTGATTCTTTTTTTCTAATTACTAATAGCATTATTTGAAAGTATTTAATGTGTTTGGAGACATGACTGATTTTATTACCAATCGCCTTCCAGATACTCACATTAAACCAAGATAAGATAAACCATTTCTCACAGATTAAAATAAATTTTCCATGACCTCTGTGTGTGGTTTGTCATGGAGTCAGATTCCATCAAACTAATAAAAATTCATTGTCACAATTCAAATCATCAAAGATGAATTCTGGTAATTAACTGAATGTCCTTTGTTCTTTTTTCAGTAGAAACTTACACATTCAAACGTTTCATGTCTCCATGTTAAATGGTCTTCTCTGTTGTTATATTTAGTTTGTTTCCTAAGGACAAATAACATTTTGTTGGAGTTGGAAGCCACCTTGAGCCCTATTAATTCAACTCCTCTCTTTATTGTTAAGGACCAAAAGAGGGGGAAATTTTTTTTTTTGTACATTTCTTAAACATATTACTGAGCTATAATCTTTAGAACAACATAAGACTTGAGAGCTGAAAATCAGGCATATTGATGACATGTCCAAATTAATACATCTGGTACTATATTAATAGGAAAATTTACTAAAGAAGAAAATATTATTTTATAAACTTTCAATTAATACTTACTAATCACCTCTCCTTTGCCAGACACTTTTCAATCAGAAATTACTTATTGAGCATTTAATAATATTAAACACTGATCTAGCTTTTACTCTGTGACAGCCTTATGCTGGGAAATTTGCTCATGTTCATTCATTTAATCTTTATTGCAACTCCATGAAACAGGTATCATCATTATCCCTAATTTACAGATGAGGACAAGTAGGCAATGAGAAGTTACATAACCCATCCAGGGTCAACCCAAGTAGTGAGAAGAAGAACCAAGATTCAAATTCAGACTCTGCCAATTTCATGCTATAAAATAGAGTTCATCCTTGAATATGAGTTTGAACTGCACAGCTCCATTTATATGCCATCTCCCCATTTCTCCCCAGTAAATATATTGGAAGTCCTGGCCAGGCAGCTTAGTTGGTTAAAGTGTGGTCCAGATATGTCAAAGTTGTGGCCTCAATCTCTGGTCATGAAACACAAGACTAAGTATTCCTCCTTCTCTCTCTCTCTCTCTCTCTCTCTCTCTCTCTCTCTCTCTCTCTCTCATCAGCATATATATATATGAAAATTTTTAGAGGTTTGTGACAACTTGAAAAAAACTCACAGATGAACTCCATAGCCTAAAAAAATGAAGAGAAAATTAAGTATTCATGAATGCATATAGCACATACACAAAATATGTGTTAATCAACTGTTTATGTTATCAGTAAGGCTTCTAGTCAACAGTAGGCTATTAGAAGTTAAGTTTTTGCAACAACATGGATGGATCTTGAGAATATTAAGCTAAGAAAAATAAGTCAGTCAGAAAAAGCTAAGACCCATTGATTTTACTCATATGTGGGATATAAAATTTAAACTAGTGACCACAAATAGCAGTGTGGTGGTTGCCGGAGGGAACAGGGTGGGAAGTGAAGGGGTCCTAATACATGTTGGCAGGAGAAGATTTGACTTTAGGTGGTGGGCACACAGTGTAATATACAGATCTTGTAACATAGAAACCCACACCTGAAACCTATATGATCATATTAACCAATGTCACCCCAATAAATTTTTTTTTTAAAGAGGGGGAGTTAAGTTTTTGGAGAGTCAAAGTTATACATGGATTTTCAATTGCATGAATGGGGTCAGCACGTCTAATGCCTGCATTGTTCAAAAGTCAACTGATGAAGCAAACACTCAACATTTCCCAACCACTATGTTAGGTGCTAGGAATGAAACTGAAAGCACAACCAGATGTAATTCTAGTTTTTTGCAACTGAGAGAGGGTGGAGGACATTATTTACATAACTCTTCTGTGTAGTAAGAATTTGGCCTGCTCAACAGAAGGTCTATTCTGCAGCTCCTCCCTTCCCCATTCCCATCCTTCCCCATCGATTCCTGGGAGGTAACCTCTAAATGCTTCAAAATTTCTCTATAGAAATGTCTTTGTTATTCATGGTGAGCCCCTCAGACCATACTTTATAGTTTATAATAAGGGGGTTTCTCAGGGTAGGAATGACCATACACAATAGTCTTAGGGTAGAAGTTGGCCATAGCCAGAAAGCCAGAATGTTCAATCACATAAGTGATCAATCAACCACTCAGTCATGCCTATGTAACAAACCCTTAATAAAAACTTTGGACACTAAAGCTCAGGTGAGCTTTCTATAATAGATGGACAATGCTTCATGCAAATTATAACACATCAATGCTAGGAAGGCAATGCATCCTGAGGACAACAGAAGCTTCACATCTGGAAACTGCCCAGAATCTGCCCTGTGTGTCTTTTCTAACTTTGGCTGGTTCTAATTTGTATTTTTTCACTGTAGTAAATGAAGCCATTAATGTAACAGGGGTCAGTGAGTTGTGAGTTTCTCTAGCAAACTATTGAATCTGAGGGTGTTTTTGGAAAACCTCCGAGTTTGCAGTTGGTATCAAAAGTCTTAGGCAGACTTGGCAGTCTAGAGGACCATGCCCTTCAACTTGAAGTTTGGCTAAGTTAAGGTACATGCCAAGAAATGAAAAAAAATGACAGTCGTTAAGTGTGTAAAAAAGTAATATAAATTGAGCCACTCTAAGATGGAGTTGGAATACTCCAACTTAGGAATTGTCTTTGCACATCTCACTCCCTAAACTTTTGGAATGTTAAAACTGGTCAAAATACCCTTTGGACTGTTCCCAAAGCAGCAATATCTCAAACAACTGTTTGAAAATTTAAGAGAGCAGATATTATGACTACTAGAATGAAAAACATCCTTCAAATTAGCATCACTATGGTAGCTTATCTCTATGGAAATTCCTTCCTTCTACTGATATAATTCTTCTTCTTCTCTTTCCCATAAATACCACTTGCCTTCAACTCCTAATTCAAATACTATTTGGGGTTCGGCCTGGATTCTTCCTGAATAAGCTACTTTTTTGGATCTAAAAAGAATGCTGTTGCCTCTCCCTTTGGCCTTTTATTTTAGACTGAGTGCCATGAAGGGGAAGCTTAATGTGGTTGACCCAACCTGGGAAAGGAAAGCTTTGATGGGGAGGTCATGATTGATCTGAGAGCTGAAGGCTGAGCAGGAATTAAATAATGAGAGGGAATGAGAAGGTCATCAGAGGCATAGGAACCACACATTTTGACTTGAGGAACTGCAAGAAGGCCAAAGATAGAATGTAAAGAGAAAAAGGGAATTTGCCATAAAGCGAGGTTTCAAGAATATTTATTGTGTTTTCTAATAATGAAATTTGTACCTGCTCATTGAAATATATCTTTGCCATTTCTGTGTATCTCTCTCTATATTCATTTATTTTTGTTTTTCTTTTTTTTTAATTAAATTATTATCTGTCTACATATCTTACCATCCCCCCAATACATACCCTCCCTCCCCAGAGTTTTGTGTCCATTGGTTGTACTTATATGCATGTATACAAGTCCTTCGGTTGATCTCTTATCTCCCCCAGATCTCCCTGCCCTCCCTGCTGTAATTTGACAGTCTGCTTGTTGTTTTACTGTCTCTATATCTATCTTTTGGTTCATCAGTTTATAATGTTCTTTATTATCCATAAATGAGTGAGGTTATATGGTGTTTCTCTTTCATTGACTCAGCATGATGTTCTCCAATTCCATCCAGGTTACTGCAAATGATGAGAATTCCTTCTTTTTTATGGCAGCATAGTATTCCATTGTGTAGATGTACCATAGTTTTTGGATCCATTCATCTGCTGTCGGGCACCTAGGCTGTTTCCAAATTCTAGCTATTGTAGATTGTGCTGCTATAAACATAGGGGTGCATATATCCTTTCTGATTGGTATTTCTAGTTTCTTGGGATATATTCATAGGAGTGGGATTACTGGGTCAAATGGGAGTTCCATTTTCAGTTTTTTGAGGAAACTCCACACTGTTCTCCACAGTGGCTGCACCAGTCTGCATTCCCACCAGCAGTGCACGAGGGTTCCTTTTTCTCCACCACCTCGTTAACACTTGTCATTTGTTGATTTGTTGATGTTGCCATTATGACAGGTGTTCATTTATTTTCTTTTACACAATTAGGACCATACTATATACACAACATTGTAGCGTGTTTCTGTTTTTTTCCAATTAAGTCTGGAAGCTGAATATATTTCCTAAATTATTATATCTTCTTGAAAATATGATTTTTGAGGTCTATTATTATTATTATTATTATTTAGAAAATAAAGCAATAATTTATTAACCACAGCAAAAATATACTTAAGACAACAAAACAAGGAAGGGCATAGAAGCAGCAACAGGAAGGAAATTACTGATTTTTTAAAAAAATGATAGCTACTGGATTTGGGGCACCTATTATGTACTAGGCATTTATTATTTTCTAAATAAAATAAGGCTTATAATGAAAAAACAGTAGTCCTCTGCCCTATCATAAATACCCTGATTACCATTCCTAGAGGCCATTAGCTCCCCTATTCAACTGTTATTTTTTTTCTGATAGCTATCTTCATAGTCTTAACAATATACATATACAGCTATTTATTGATTTTTTTCAGATTAATATAATTATTTATTGACATTCAGCTATGTACTATAGCACACACACACACACACACACACACACACACACAGTACTCACATGAAAACATATGTACAATCTTCACCTTTTCCATCATCCCAGTATAGTGGTTGCACAATTGCTAGTTTAATAATTATTGTGCTTACATTATTTTAGTGACAAATACTATTCACAATTCCTTTCCTTTAAAACATGATTCCCACTCCCTCCCTAGAGTTAACGATAATCTCATTTTTTTAAATTTTGCTTTTTTTTTTTTTTTAACTGCCTCTCTCATGTATCTCTAAACCACCTACCAGAGGTGTAAAATCTCCTTTCAGTATGTTTTGATACATTATGTCACCTATCAATTTCAATTTTTTCTTGGAGATCTCTCTCCAGGAACCTTCCATACCTCCCCACAATCTGGACTGGCTCCTGCTGGGCTACTTGTCACCCCGAACTTCCCTCCATTTTGTAGCTTCCCTGGTCATCCTCCTGAATTAGAACACCTGTTTTCTGGTTACCATGTCTTTCTCTATTCACTCCCATCCCATTTTTTTTCTTTTTAAATATATTTTTTATTGTTGATCATATTACAGATATCTCCCATTCCACACATCCTCCCTACCCTCTTTTTCCCCAGCCTCTCCCCACCCCCTCAGGTCTCCATTACCCTATTGTCCATGTTCATGAGCTATGCATATAAGTATATATGTTTTTCAGTTTATCTCTTCTCTTCCCCTCTACCCTAGTCTCTTCCATGCCTCCATGCTTCAGGTCTTATTTTTTTTGATCAATTCATTTTGCTCATTAGATTCCAAAAATAAGTGAGATCATGTGATATTTGTCGTTCTCAGATTGGCTTATTTCACACCCCTTTTATAGGACCACATCCTCCATTAGCTTTTCTAAAAGAAAGCATGGGAAGTACATTATTGACAGGTTATAAGTTTAAAATATTATTTCACTTTTACACTTGGTTGATAATGTCACTGGGTATAAAAGTATAGATTTAAATAAGTTTTCTCCAGAATTTTGAAGGCATTGCTTAATTATCTTAGGGCTTCCAGTGTTGCTGGTGAGTCTAATGCCTTTCTTGTTCCCAATTGGTAGTATGTTACATGCTTATTCTTTCTGAAAACTTTATAATCTTTTCTTTATTTCTGGTGTTCTGTCATTTTACAATGATATGCCTTGGACAAGCCTTGTTTCTTTTTGTGGTATCTTTTGATTGAGAAATGTATGTCCTTCAGTTCTAGAAATTTATAATATTGATTTTAAAAATAACTTCTCCCTCTTTTCTTTTCTCTCTTTTAGGACCTCTTGTCTTTGGAAATTCTACTTCCTGAACTAATTCTTGATTTCACCAAATATTTTCTATTTTAATTTTATTGGGAGAAATAAAAATGTGTCTAATACCAATCAGAATGATTCATTAGAGAAAAACTTGATCACACAGGAGAGGGAGAATTTCTGTAGCTATATCCTTGATTAGGTGAAAGAGGATGGGATTTGAGGCACAGATGGAGACACTGCCTGTGGCTGGACAACAGAATAAGTCATTCATGAGTGACAGGAGAAAAAGTGGAGCATACAAGTCCAGGTGTAGAGAGATGACAGTCTTCATATGCTGCAATTTCTTAATGAAGTAGGAAATGAAGTCATCAAGTGAGACTGAGAATAAGGGAGGAGATGTGGGAGTTGGCAGGTGAGGAGAAAATGAAATGGCAACCAGGAGTGTGAGAGAGAGAAGAAACTGGTCATAGCAAGTGATTCTGTTCACAGACTGTTGAAACTGATTTGCTACTCTTTAATTTAAATTTTCTCGCCTACATTTATAACAAAGATTGGAATATAATTTTTTGGGTGGTGCTTTTAGGTCAAGTCCTTGTGTCAATAAAAGCAAGACAATAATAATAACTACCATTATTGAGCACCTATTATGTACCACTGGTGATTTCTTCCCATGATCTCATTTAATCCTCATAACAACAGGAAAATGATAAATTACCCCCATTGAGAAAATTGAAACTGGTGCTGAGGGTATGTAAAGTGACATGATCAAAATTTTATAGCTAATAAGCAGAGTTGATATTTAAAACCAGGTCTTTAACTCCAAAATCAATACTTATAGCCAGCAATTTATTCTAGCTTTCCAGGTGTTTGTCAGTTTTTCTTTCAGGCTTTTTAATTTTATAAAGCTTTTCATCTTACTCTAAGTTCTGGAACAGATTATATAAACATAAGAGTTACCTGTTTTTGTTTTTGTTTGTTGTTTGTTTTAAATCACAAAACCTCACCAGAGAAAACCATCTGTTATAAAAATACAACATTTCAAGTTGAAAAAAATAAAGAGATAATGGTTTATTATAAATATTATATTTCCATTGACATGTGGCTGTTTCTACTTAAAACGATAAAGCCTTCAGTTTAATAAATACTCCGAGGAAAGCAAATAAGCCATTACTCTGTCAACCTCGCTCACCACCATATTCCATCTGTCTCACTATTTCTGACTCAAAAAGTATTGTAGAACTGTCACCCTAGGCTAGGCTGCCATCATGTTAGTCTGGATGATGCAGTACCTTTCAAGTTCATCCTCATTTTCTCTCTTCTGTCACTTGTACTCATTCTGCACACGGCAGCAAGAGGGCTTTATTTCAAAATGTTCTGTGTGTTTACTGTTTACAACAGAATGCTGCCCAATATAGGAAGTAACTGCCATATACTCAGCTGTATAAAGTAGTGCGTGGTGCTTAACTACAAATGGAAGGCACACTTTTTGAAAAATAAACACATAAACACAACAGAAGATACTACCAACAGGCATTATGCCAACTGGTTTTTAATGAGCTTATGCTGATCTTTCTCCTTTGTAAGTCTTCCATGAATGTGATTATTTTCTCAAACCACTCCTCCCAACACCAAGACTAACATTTAATACATGAACTCTTTAATTCTACTTGTTCTATAGCGGGTTAGAACAGACCCCATTTTCTAGTGTTTTCCTTAGCAAAGGTGACTGAGACAAGTATATCATGAACACCTTAACATATTTGTTTTATTTTACTAATCTTTTCTCTCCCGGCCTACCAGTGAGTGGCATATATATTAAGTACTCAATAAATATCCATTGAACATTGTTAAATGAACACAATATTAAGCATTTTGTAGGAATAATTTAAAACTTTCTAAATAATAAACTAGCAGCTTCCATAAGGGTGCTCCCATATCAAATTATGCAATCATAGATTTTCTTAAAATGTGGCTTTTGTTATTTTTCTCTAAGGTCTTGATGTTCTTTTTTATTCTTGACAGCTGATGTGCAACACTTTCCACTCATAATGTACCTTCCCTTTCCTCTAAAGATATCAGTTTCCTCAGCGTTTACCTTGAAGCATGACCAAAGACTGTCGAAGTCGGCTGTTCTCTTTCCGGGTGTTTGTCAGTTTCTGTTTCAGGCTTTTTATTTTCGTGCACAATTCCTCCTTCGACAATTCTTCTAAAGGCTCATCATCCTCACTGGAGCTCTCGCCGGGCAGAAAGGCATTTCCCGAGAATGGGTCTCTCTGAAACACAAGGCAGGCACAAGAAAAGAAGCTTCAAAGTGACCTTAATTAATGGTTTATCGCAGGTTCTCTACGCTGAAGGGACCTACAGGTGCCTGTTCTCCCAGGTACTTCCCGTCCAAGAGAGGAGCTGAGCTCTCACTAATGATCTCGCCTCAGCTTTGTCTTCCACTGTCCAAGGGCACTCAGAAGAATATCAAAGTCCCATGCAAGTGCCTCTTGAAAATCAGGAATCAGGATTCTGACATTCTACCTACCGTCAGGGAGAAATACAAAGTAGAAAAATAGTGTAACAGAGCAGAGTCCACAAGACTACCTTTCACACCTGTGTAACTCATTCCCATCCTCCATTCGTCCCCTCCTTCTCATTCACGGCCTCGCTGTTGTCATAGGACAATGTTGGGCTTTCCTGCATCACAAAAGGAGGGATAAGATCTCCCGAGGCCAGTGGTCGGCAAACTCATTAGTCAACAGAGACAAATATCAACAGTACAATGAATGAAATTTCTTCTGAGAGCCAAATTTTTTAAACTTAAACTTCTTCTAATGCCACTTCTTCAAAATAGACTCGCCCAGGCCGTGGTATTTTGTGGAAGAGCCACACTCAAGGGGCCAAAGAGCCGCATGTGGCTCGTGAGCCACGGTTTGCCGACCACTGACGTTCATGTTTACCTTTTAGTTTTAAAATAGTCCTTAAGGCCAGTAGCAAGATAACACTCTGAACATGCATGCACTTGAGTTGTAAGACCCAGGCCGCGTTGCGACAGAAAAGAATTTTCTCAAATTACCAAGCTGTCATCTATATATATCCAAACTTGGAAAAGTGGAGCACAGAGTGGAATTGCTAAAGTTCCAAATCTAGAAGATTTAAGTGTAAAGGTTTTTTTGTTTTGTTTTTTTTAAATATGCCTTATAGTAGTAGAGATGAAAGCATGACATAAAGTTCCTGCTGCCTGGGAAGAGGAAAGGGCCTGGTGCCATGAGGAAGAGGAGCCTCGGGAATCAAGAACCAAAGTGGCAGAGAATCAGGTGCAGTTATCTTTGTTCCTCCTGCCCCTGCCCCTGCCCCTTGGAGAGAAGGAAGCCAGATGACAGGGCTAGGGATGATCTCTGAATGCATAATAATATGGCCACTCAGTGTATCTATAATAAAAAAAAGTGTAATATGCTAATTAGACCGGACAGCTAAACAGCTTTCTGGTTGTCCTTTTGGACGAAGTCATGGTGGCAGGGGCCGAGGCAGAGGCAGTTAGGGGTGATCAAGCAGGCAGATGAGCAGTTAGAGGAGATCAGGCAGGCAAGCAAGTGTTTAGGGATGATCAGACAGGCAGTCAGATGAGCGGTTTGAAGCCAGTGGTCCTGGATTGTGGGATCGGGCCTAAACTGGCAGTTAGACATCCCCTAAGGTGTCCCAGATTGTGAGAGGGTGCAGGCCAGGCTGAGGGATTCCCCCCTCCCCGGCACAAATTTTGTGCACGGGGCTCTAATATATATATTAGAGAATTCATGCATGGGTGGGGTCCAGCCAGCCTGGCCAGGGGGAGGGGACATGGGCGGTTGGCCAGCTTGCCTGCTGGTCAAACTAGTCAAGGGGACAATTTGCATACCAACCTTTTATTATATAGGATACACTGTCCCCTCGGCCAGGAGTTTGACCAGCAGCCAGGGCAGCCAACCACCCATGTCCCCTCTCCCTGGCCAGGCTGGCCAGACCCCACCCATGTATAAGTTCATGCACCAGGCCTCTAATATATATATGTATTTACAGTGAGTGGCCAGATTATTATGCATTCAGAGATCATAATAATCTGGTCACTCAGTATATATTATACATATGGTAATATGTATATATGATAATGAAAATTGCTATTATTATATATGGGCAAGTAGCTAATGTACTGACTCAAATATATAAATGCTAGTGGATTTGATTAAATAGAAATGAAGGATTTTTTTTTTTTTACTTAAGGATATCTTTTGAGACCATAGTTTTGTGGAGAGTACAGTAAGTCCTCGCTTATCATTGTCAATGAGTTCTGCAACTTGAAGTGAAATGACATATAATGAAACCAATTTTACCATAGGTTAATTGATAGATACAAGAGTTAAGTTCCTATGGCATCTCATCACTGTTATAATGAAACAATGCTGAACAAAATGACATTATTTGAGGACCTGTTGTAATTAAAAAACATTAAAATATATTATTTGAACCACTTTTGGCAAGCTCCTACATATTTGTGATATCTAAAACCACTAGAGACCAATTTCTATAATAGATATTTATGCAAAACAATTAAGATCAGAATTGAAAACCACTTGAAGAGACTAAAAAAATCCAACAACAACAAAAAATAAAAACCCAGTAGAAAAATGCACAGAGGCAGGGACTGTGAGCTACCTCCAGTTATCCTCTCCCATTCTTCTACAATAATAGGTTTTTAGGTGGGCAAGTATCTGTCAGCTAACGATTATATCTCCCAGACTCCCATGCAGCTCAGTACAGCTATATGTCTAAGTATTGCAATAAAATCTGAGTAGAAGTAATGTGTACCATTGTTGCATTATGACCTTAAAAGTAATGAGCATGTCTTCTCCTGTCTGTGTTCTCCTGTGCTGGTAGAGAGAAAGCCATGATGGTGAGGGCTGTGGTCATTACCTTAGTCCCAGAGAGAGAGGCTGTGTGGTGAGAAAGGTAGAGCCACAAGACTAGAGGGATCCTCAACATTGTGGAGCTGGCATACCAACCCTGGACTGCTCTTGCTGTTATGTGAAAGGGAAAAAAATCTTCTATCTTGTATAAGCCACTGTTTGAATCTTTGTTATAGCCTTTGCAACATGTATGATTACATATATATACATATATTTTGATTTAATTTAATTTAATTAATTTCTTTAGAGAGAGAGGATGGGAGAGGAATAGAGAGATAGAAACATTGATGAGAGAGAAACATTAATTGGCCACCTCCTGCACACCCCACACAGGGGATTGAGTCTGAAACCCGGGCATGTGCCCAACTGGGAATCAAGTTGGTAGCCTTGTGGTTCCTGGCTTGACACTCAACCACTGAACCACACCAGCTGATCCAGACTTTTTTTTTTAAACATGTATTTTATTTTATTTTTAATTTAATTTTATTTTATTGTTTAAGGTATTACAAATAGTAGTACATGTGTCTCTTTCCCCTCCTCTTCCCCAACTGACTTCCCCCTGGCCTCCCCTACCCCCCTGGCACTTGCCCTCGTCCTCCCACCCCTAGTATTTTGCATCTATTGGTTGTACTTATATGCCTGCATACAAGTCCTTAGGTTGATCTTTTATCCCCACAACTCGCCCCTACCTTCCTGCTGTAGTTTGAGAGTCTAATCCAGATTTTGATACCTAGAAGCAGGATATCCCAAACCTGGTGATGTCAGGCTGTGAGCAAAAAGAGCACAGGAATAACATAGCAGAAGACTATTGACTTTTGTCCGACCTTGTTGACATATTTGGTAAAACTGTGGTCTGGAAGACCATGTGCTTACTAAGTCTGGAAAATGAATGATGGTGTGTATCAGTGGCTTCTTATTGGTGCTGACCAGTGTGCAGAGATGAAAGGTTTTTCTTTCATCTGCATTTAGAATGCAGCCTGCAATCTCAACCGACCGACAGTCCAGTCATATTACATTTGTAAGGTTTGAGCCCTGGCTGGTGGCTCAGTTGGTTGGAGCGTTAGTCTGTATATCGAAAGGTTGCAATTTGATTCCCGGTCAGGGCACATACCTAGTTTGTAGGTTCAATTCCTTGTCAGTGCCCCTCAATCAATGTTTCTTTCTCACATGGATGTGTTGATCTCTCTTCCTTCTCCCTCTCTCTCCTTCTCTTCTTTCCTCTTTTAAAAATCATTACACATAGCGTTAGGAGAGAATAAAAAAAATCTGCAAGATTTGAAAAAGCCAAATACTTCTACATCTAAGTAGGTGGAGGGTAAGGTTGTGACCTCAAGGCCTTTTGAAGAACTTCTTAAGTTCTCAGCGAGGCGCTGAGATCCATCCCAATGAGAAGGATCAGATTCAAGCTTTTTGGTTCATGAAGTCTTCAGGTAACTGCCAAAAGTTGGAGAAAAAAGATGCTGAGCACAGATACCATAATAAGAGGAGAGTTTTCAGGCTTGTTTTTGACCAAATAAACTCTCTGTCTGTAGTTACTTGTAATGGATCCTGAGTAAAATAAGAAGCTTAAAAAGCTATTAAGTTTTTGAGAAAAACAAATTGCTAAAGAAATCACAATACTAGCCTGCGAGAGCATGTGACTATCTTACCCCTCAAGAAACCAGGGGACCCCCAAACCTGCACCAGAGAATTGAGACAAGGTATTTTCTCCCATCAACTTGCCCAAAACATGAAAGTTGGATATCAATGCAAAGAGTTAGTAAAAAAGAACAAGTATAGGAACCCCTCATGTACTGCAGACTGAAGTGAACAAATTGGAAAGCAATGTTATGGTGCCTTGTCAAATGAACTAGACACAAACCTATAACTTATAATCCATTAATCCCTATCCTAAGTATTTAGTTCAGAGAAATTCTCACACTGTTTCTTAAAAGAACATATATGAGGATATTTATTTTGTCAGTGTTCGTAGAAGCAAAAAGCTAAGTGTTCATTATAGAGGAAAGGATAAGTTAATATGGTGTTATGTAGTAGTTAGACACAATGGATCTGATGCATAATAGATGTTAAAAACAGTGCTGATTGAAAAATCAGAAGCAAATCAAAGTATATATTATGATACCAATGTACTACTAAATGATGTACCAAATGATACATCTATAAGGTTGTACAGTGAAGCATAATTTGTAAAAAAAAAAAAAAAAAAAAAAAGAAAAAAAAAAAGATTGGTAGCAAGCCAAACCCGTCATAGGGGACTACTGGTTAGATAAAGAATGGTACATGCATGCAGTGGAATAACATGGAGCTGTAAAAACGAATAAGATCGTTACATATTAGTGGAAAGATCTTCAAAATAAGTAAAACAGCAAAGTACAAAGCAGCATCTCTGATAAGTTACTTTTTGCGCAAAAGAAGGGTTAAGAATATCTATATTCATATTTGCTTTATTTGAATAAAGAAACACAAAAGGGATAACAAGAAAGAAATAAATGCGATTATCTGTAGTAGGGGGTAGGAGGTGGGAATAGCATGGATGGGAGATAGGGAAGGGAGGGAGACTTTTTAGTGTTTACCTCTGAAATATATATATATATATATATATATATATATATATATATATTAATGATTTCAGAGAGGAAGGTGAGAGAGATTGAAGCATCAATGATGACAGTGAGTCAACAATCACCTGCCTCCTGCATGCTTTCTCTAGGGATTGTGCCCACAATCTGGGCATGTGCCCTGACTGGGAATTGAACCTTGACCCCTGCTATTGAGTCATCCCTTCCTGGCTTATATTTATATCATATGTGTGTGTATAATATGTATATGTATAAAAAAGGTATTAGAAAACGACATTAATTATTACTAGACCTAATATATTGCATATATGTGATATATATATATCCTTTTTATTTTTTATTATTAAAAAAACTTAATTTTTAAATTTAACTTTCTGATTCTGTGCTTATGCCTCCAACACTTTTATAGTGATTTTCTGGTCCTCAATCAAAAAAGTATGCTTGGTCATGTCACAGATACATTTCACATACATGGAACCACCATGGGCATTACTGATATACTTTTGCATTTTAGACAACCTCATAAGAACTTTTGGTCTTATGACCTAAACTCCTCCATTTGTGGATTTTGGTGCTTCCCAACTTTCATGGTATAAAGATAAATTTCCATTACAAGGTCAGGACGGCCTAGTTTTGTTATAGGTTGTATTATAGGAGATAGCCTAAAACAGTATGTCAAATGCTGGATCATTCTGAATGTCTCTAGACATTATCCCCCAAAAGACTGAAAATATTTTAAACCATGAGAATGTACAGCATATATATATATATATACAGACACACACACACACACACACAGAAAATACTATGTGTTATGGAAACATACACAAATACTTGTATTACAAAGATAAATAAAAAGACACAGAATAAGCACATTGATAGACTGAAGAGAAGAGAGTGAGGAATTTAGCTCAAAAAGGAATCAATGAATAAATAAAAATAGGAAAGGCACCTGACCGAACTAGTGATAAAGATGGGCTGGAAAATGTAATTAGAAAAAGAAAACAGAACATGTTACAGAAGAGGTATTCCAATGTCTCCAATGTCTTTTTGAAAGAAAAATGTATTTTCTGACAGTTTGCTGATCTTTAATTTCTTAGAACACCATGGAAAGTTTGAACAATGGCATAATTGGCCATTCTTAAATGGAAGCAGGTAAAATGTATTCTGAGTATGTTTCAAATTCAATTTTTTCAACATTAAAAAGAGAACATGCAATTTTATTCCCTGGTTGAGTAAAAAATTAAAAGGAAGAATAAATTAATAGAACAGGGGAAAGTACTAATACATTATGAGAGGCATTAGGGAATTGTGATGGAGCTAAATAATAATATTATATGAAGGAAACAGAAAACTAACCTGTCCTTTATCCATGTCACTGTTGGCATTCTCTGAGTCCATTGTCTCTGTCCTTTTCCTCTTTCCTTTTCTAAGAGCTTGGGTATTGGTAACTTCATCCGTTTGCAAGGTCGTCTGCATTGTATCAATTAGTTACCGGAGGTTTTCTGAAATTGTAGGACGGAATGTCCATGTAGATGATGCTATTTCAGATGTAGCCCCAAAGTTAATGTTTTTCCTTAAAAACAAAAACAAAAGGATACATAATATATTTACAACTGTATGTTTCATAATGGCAACAGCCGCTCAAATTACTTTTACTGAATGTTTCCCATCATTCTTTCTCTCACTGACCAATTTAGTACACATTTTTATCTGACTCAAAAGTCTTTCAATTTCAGCCGAAACCGGTTTGGCTCAGGGGATAGAGCGTCTGCCTGCGGACTGAAGGGTCCCGGGTTAGATTCTGGTCAAGGACATGTACATTGGCTGCGGGCACATCCCCGGTTGGGGATGTGCAGGAGGCGGCTGGTCGATGTTTCTCTCTCATCGACGTTTCTGGCTCTATCTCTCTCCCTTCCTCTCTGTAAAAAATCAATAAAATATATATTTTTTAAAAAGTCTTTCAATTTCATCATCACCAGCATCATCACCAGCATGCAATGTTCCTATAATGTGATATGCACTGAGTTGTCACTTATAAAATAAAATAATTCCCCCCCCCCCATATTTATGTCTTTTTTCTTGCCCATCAGTTATGAGGAGTCTATAAAACAAAGTAGAAATGTTATAAATTTATGAAAACACTATTTCAGAGGACTGAAGTTATACATCTTTAGGAAAAAGACAATAGTGGAGATCTCATCAGGACCAAAATATTCGAAGGCAGATCAATATGAATTACTGAGGGTTTTTTCCCCCCCTAAAAACTCTAAAGTTTTTCTTGGTATACATGGTATAAGAATTATATCATAAAGAATGGGGCATGTCCTAGCTCAGTGGTCGGCAAACCACAGCTCGAGAGCCACATGCGGCTCTTTGGCTTCCACAAAATACCACGGCCTGGCCGAGTCTATTTTGAAGAGAGGCGTTAGAAGAAGTTTAAGTTTAAAAATTTGTTTCTCAAAAAAAATTTCAATTGTCATACTGTTGATATTTGGCTATGTTGACTAATGAGTTTGCCGACCACTGCCCTAGCCTGTTTGGCTCAGTGGATAAAGCATTGGCTTGCGGACTGAAGGGTCCCAGGTTTGATTCCAGTCAAGAGCACATGCCTGGGTTGGAATCTCAATCCCCAGTAGGGGGTGTACAGGAGGCAGCAGATCAATGATTCTCTCTCATCATTGATGTTTCTATCTCTTTCTCCCTCTTCCTTCTTCGCTGAAATCAATTTTTAAAAATGGGATAAAAATATCTTAAAGGCAACAATACATTTTAGAAAAATTTTAAGGGATAATCATTTTTCAATGTAGTTCTTAGGTCAAATCGGGTTGAGATGATTTAACTTTCACTGCAGATGATACATAGATGATGCATATTTGATCTTAACATCCTTATCACTTGCATATATTGGTTTATTTTCATGAAAAGATATTTTATTATAAACAATAAAGCTTTATCACCAGAAAGGACTGAGCTTAAAGGGACCCATTGGAGTCCCTTTCTACTCCAATATGTGGACATTGGAGTAGAAGGTAACATATATTCTTTACTGAATTACACTAAGTAATTATATTAGAAAAGATGGTTCTTTTACCTATTTTAAGAGAAATTCATTATTCTCACCCCAACCATAAAATAATATTTAAGACAGTCTTGCCAGAATTTTATATTGTGATTTTTAAAAAATATATTTTTTATTGATTTTTCACAGAAAGGAAGGGAGAGAGATATAGAGCTAGAAACGTTGATGAGAGAGAAACATCGACCAGCTGCCTCCTGCAAACCCTCTACCGGGGATGTGCCCGCAACCAAGGTACATGCCCTTGACCGAAATCGAACCCGAGACCTTTCAGTCCGCAGACCGACGCTCTACCACTGAGCCAAACCGGTTTCGGCTATATTGTGATTTGTTGAAAACTTACATGAGGTTTTCAAATACATAAATAGTACTTGACTAACATATAGACTAGACTTACATCTGATTCACAAATATCAGAGACCTTACCTAAAATTAAGCTTTATTAATAATCTCAAAGATACAGCAACCAAGAGGCACAGGCAAAGTAAGGAGAGGTCTAGAACATCCTACTGGCATATAGGACCTTCCTTCTAACACCGTATAGGTACTTTGTAGTCTAGAGTAATAGCTGAGGCTTCTCAATGAGGTGTGCAGGTCACCGTGCACAGTGGGGAGTGTGTAAGTTGTGACACACTTCTGTTCTATTTCACAAAGTCTAGCTTAGATGACCAATTTATCAATCTATAAAATCTAGGTATGTTTTCCAAAAGCAATCCTAAATCAGGGATATACAATGAAGAGCATTCCATAGATGAAAACTACACTTTTCATAAATGTCATTAGTCTATTTACTCAGAGCGAGGTCAATCAACATTTTCTGTAAAGGGTCAGATGATAAATATTTTAGGCTTTGCAGGCCAGGAGGTAAAATCAAGGATATTACATAGGTACAGAGCTAAAAAGAACAAGTCTCCCAAGTTTTTATTTATAAAACTGAATATATACTATGATACTAATAATTAAGGAACAAGTTGTTTTTTTGTTTTTTTTGTAACATAGGTCTACTAACAAGAATGGAATTTTTTAAAAAGCACATCTTGTTTAATTGGCTGATTTGATCTTCTACCCAGTTACTGAATCTTTCTCCATATCAGCAATAAGGTTGTTTATGATTTGTGTTCACTGGAGTAGCACTTTTAATTTTCTTCAAAAACCTCTCCTTTGCCTTTACATCTTGGTTAAGTGTTTGGTGTAAGAGGCTTAGCTTTTTGGCCTATCTTGGGTTTTGACATGCCTTCCTCACTAAGCTTAAGCATTTCTAGCTTTTGATTTAAAGTGAGAGATGTACACCTCTTCTTCTCACTTGAACACTGAGCGGCCATTATAGGGTTATTAACTGGTCTAATTTCAATACTGTTGTGTCCCAGAGAACGGGCCCAATTAGGGGGAAAGAGATGGGGATCTGCTGGTTGGTAGAGCAGTAAGAACACACACACAACATTTATTAATTAAATCTGCAGTCTCATACAGGTACATTTGTGGTGCCCTAAACAATTATGATGGTAGCATCAAAGATCATTGATCATAAATAGCCATAACAGATATAATGATAATAATGAAAATTTTGGAATATAATTACTTAAAAAATGACACAGAGACAGGAAATGAGCAAATGAATTACACTAAGTAATTATATTAGAAAACATGGTTCTTTTACCTATTTTAAGAGAAATCCATTATTCTTTACCCTAACCATAAAATAGTATTTAAGTCAGTCTTGCCAGAATTGTATATTGTGATTTGCTGAAAACTTATGTGAGGTTTTCAAATACATAAATATTATAGTACTTGACTAATATATAGGCTAGACTGTTACTTCTGATTCATAAATATCAGAGATATTTGTGAAAAATATCTGTTGTGAAAAAAACTGTTGAATATTTGTGAAAAAAATGTTGAAAAAAATGCTGATAGACTTGCTTGATGCAGGGTTGCCACAAACACTCAGTTTGTAAAAAACATAATATCTATAAAGTGTAAAAAATGAAACAAAAAAAACAAAAACAAAACAAGGTATGCCTATATTTAAAAAATATAGAAATTTCCTCTGCCTTTGTATTGACATCTGAAAGACAATAGTGGAGCTGTAATTTGAACTTGAAATGCAAATCTGAGTCAGGGTAAACATTTCATTTCTTGTTTCAACTTTTGGCAGCAGGCTGCATGTACAAAATAGGTTAACATTACTTGTAAGCCACAATTTAGTTGTTATTAGAATGGCTTTTCCTCCTTGTAAGTTTTGCATTAAATACTTGTTTTGTCTTGTATTTTGTTAATGAATTTATTAAGAAATATTATAAAGTCTGCAGCAAATCCAAAATTTCCAAAGCCATCCAGTGTTCCATAAGGGTGGTTGAGGGTCATTCTCATTCACAAAAATGTCAGTGTTGACTTTGAGTTAAAACATTTGCAGTAAAACATTTCTACTGTTAAGCTAGTAAAATGTTATATAGCAAGGAAAATTAAAATATTCAATTTCTATTTATTAAAAAAAATGCATGGAATTGACAGTGGTCAAGTCCACAAAGAACGAAGTTCACTCCTGACACTATTTAGTCAATGATATATGATATTTTTAGAAATTGCCAAGGTGGTCTTTAACTTTTTTTTTTTTTTGAAATGTGAGTCATGATGGCCAAAATAATCTTGAAAAAGAAGAAACTTGGAAAAGTTGCACTCCCCAATTACAAAGCTATAGTAATTAAGATAGTTTGGTACTGACATAAGGATAGACACATAAATCATTAGAATAAAATGAAGAGTTCAGAAATAAACCCTTATATCTATGGTCAATTGTTTTTTTTAAATACATTTTTTATTGATTTCAGAGAAGAAAGGAAAGGGGGAGGAGAGATGGAAACATCAATGAGAGAGAATCATAGGTCCGCTGCACATCCCCTACTGGGGATCAAGCCAATAAACCAGCATGTGCCCTTGACTGGAATCGAACCCAGAACCCTTCAGTCCACAGGCCGATACTCTACCCTCTGAGCCAAACAAACCAGCTAGGGCAGTCAATTGGTTGTTGACAAGGTTGCTAAGGCAATTAAATGAAAAGAGTCTTTGCAACAAACAGTGCTGGAAAAATGGAAAAACTCAGCCATTTGCCTTATTTTTTTTAATGAATTAGTATGTTGTTCCTCATGTCCTCAATTCTTTGAGCAACTGCTTTTGTTGAAAGGCTAATAGTCTTAAGTAAGTTTATTTTTTGTGGGCACATGTCTTCAGCTATTGCAATCAAACATGATTTAATTAATTCATTATTAGTAGGTGGTATTCCTTGCTCAGCTAACAAATGAACCATTCAGAAACTAATTTTGGTTGCAAACTCATTTTCTTTTTTCTTTCCTTTCCTTTTCTTTCTTTCTTTCTTTCTTTCTTTCTTTCTTTCTTTCTTTCT